TGATGATGATGATGATGATGATGATGATGATGATGATGATGATGATGATGATGCCTCAGGTAATCGGAATTATTGTACACATTTTCAAGAATAAACACAGCCTTAGATAGACTTCACGTTTATTACAAAGTCGGTTTATATACACACAGCACAAGTGGTGCAAGGTTTGTATCATACATTGTCGTTACTATCGTTAGTCAAGCACTGATTGTCCTAGATGTCAGACTTTAATCAACACTACACTCAAAAAACAAGAAAAAGAATCAGACAGGCCAAGCTAAGTTGGAGAATGTTATCATAAAAAATGCAGAAAAATACTGGACCCGGAAAACCCCTGGGGGGACGGGGGTAGGTAGGTAGGTAGGCTCTCCTTATCATTACAGTTGATCAGAGTTGAAAAGAAACGCCAAAATAAAGTTATTGAAATTCAGAATAAACGCGCTCTGTGCAAGGAGTTTCAACTATTGATTTAGTAGTTTGACGCAAAAAAAAATCTTCCAGGATCTGATGTAAGTTTGTGAAGTGAGAAAAACATTGTAGTCTGCAGAAATACTTACTTCTTCCACACGCGTCGTTTTGTGCAATCACAATTCCCAAGTCCAGACTTCTAATTAATGACGCACCTTTTCGACAAGTGGACGAGAGAGTTCACTGGTAACATCCATTTCTTCCCCACCCCCTCCAGCATTTTAATGACGTCATAATTATACACGGTAATGGAACAATCACCATAACAAAAGTAGAAATCACCGGTGCCGATGTGCATTGAGCTCATCAGACTTCAGCGCTAGACCGTCGTAGCAGACGAGAGAAGATCACAGACAATAGAAAGACAAATCTACACGGAGCCAAAGGTATGTTCCCAACAACTGAAGCCGAGAATTACGAAGCTGCAAAGTCCGAGATGCAATCTATTCTACTTTCCACACCTGCACTGACATCGGAATTTTCCGGAGCGCGTGTGGTATTATAGCTACAACATAGAGCAAGCAGCAATATCTGACGTCGTAAGAAGTAGATAATTGAATACATATCCATTACAAGAATTATTATCTGTAACAGCAGCAGTGTCTAGATGAGGGGTCATCCAACATGTTTTTCAAAGTGGGTCGGGTAATTGAGAGAATGCCGAGTGAGGGGTGGGGAACTCTGTTGTTCAATACAATACATAGAGGGAAGCATGCCAGTTTGTCACAGGCCTCGACTGGGCCCTAAATGATGGAAGTTATCACTGACACTTTCAAAAAGAAATGATTGATTGATTGATTGATTGATTGATTGATTGGTTGGTTGCTTGTTTGATTGATTGATTGTGTGAATTTAATTCATTTTTTCAATTGTTGAACATTCATTGTTGAAATTTTATAGAGTAATTTGCTTTGATTTGGAAAAAAAAGGAAGAATTATTGTCGAACTACACAAGCTGAATTGACATTTTAGAGGGACTATCTCGACACCGCCAATGTGAAGGTAGAGAATAAAAAAACGTAAGCTACAACTACAGTGTTCAAGTGCTGTAATTATGACTGTCTGCAATACTCTAATACTTAGATGAAATTGTGGCAAACTGGGCAGCCCCCGCATGGAGGTGTTAAATGAAATGAAGGATTTGTCACACTGAAGTCGAGCATGAGTGTAATACAAAGAGGTTATGGAGTCTGTACAAGCATTTAAAATAATAACATCATAATGGCTTGGGGGTGGGGTGGGGGTTCACTTTAGTATTCAATCAAAAGATTAAATTATTTGAGTGGCAAAGCTCTGCGCACGCTGCAAGCATTTTCTATGGTTGGTTTTTGTGATGAGGGAGTGGGGTGGG